ACCAAAGCCTTACAGGTGATAGATATGGTGACACCAGACTCTTCTGCGCCACAGGCTGCTACGAGCGTTTGCCCATCTTCAGTGGCTGCTAGGGCTCCACCAGGTGAGCAGGAGAAATCCACTCCAAAGGCCACTGAAAAACAGCCCAAAACGAGACCCAAACATTGACTCAAAATCTAACTTCTTTTTGCATTTCATATTCCAGAACTGTATACAGTATGTAAGTCCTTCAGTGGTGGGAAGCTTGGCCTCACTTTCCCTTTTACAACATGTTTCTAGAGTAAAGCAAAATGTGACATTTAAGTCAACTGCCTCATATAAACATACCACACAGTTCCATTAAAAACATTACTACTTCAGCAGTTGTATAGTGGGAAATTTTGAAGTGCGTGTATGGGCCTTGACAATCCTTGGAGCCAGGATTGTCAAGCAGGCAGTTCTGTTGATCCATATTTGTATTCAATAATCAACTTGTCAATTTAATAACAGAGTTAAGGCTTTCTCCTGTTGACTCCAGCTGCAGAAAGGCTGAAGACTAAAAGCTTAGGCTGATGCCTTAACAGCATGCCTCATCATCAGCAGTGATGCATATCACAAATTGTGCTTGCTTAGAAGCAACAAACAAGGAATGGGTCAGTTCTGTTAGCCATATAGTAGTGTTTTATAAAACAATACAGGTCCAGAACAATATAGGACATCTTGGCTGTTTTTTGATAACTAAATTCTGCTGATTTTATAAAAGGAAAATTATCACTACAATATTCTGGAAAATCAAACTAAAAACAAATTGCAAACAAATCATTAACTGAAAGGATATGCACAAATCAATAGATACTCTCTGTATGTTCAGAATGTTTTCTGTGCAGGATCCTAGCATAGTTCTTTCCATTTCTTCCCCTTCTTTATTAGAGAGAGTGATTCTTTGAGTCTTCAATTTACTTCTACTGTTACCTCAGGTGAGAGTTGCTGGATGGTAGAGGCAGCAGCCTAGCTTCAGAGTGAAACTAAGCATGCCTGGTTAAAATTTGCCAGCAATTGTACCATTGGCTATTGTGGGGCAGAAAAAAACCTTGATAACCTTTTGGCTGTTGCTGAGAATGTGATGAAACCATTGGAAGGCACACCACCTGGATAAAGTACATCAGTAACTTCACCCAGATTTTGAAATCATGATGTGCCAAGCTTCAGCTTGAATATAAAATACAAATGTAGTACTTTTCAGCACATTTTAAGTGATGAAATGTACATCTGGTTAATTTTATCAGATTGGTTTGGAATTGTTCGCAATTGGAGACCTCATCAGTTTGATAATGGATGCTGTGTTCCAGGTTCTTGGCTCTGTAGGTGTCATTTTAATAAATACTCAAATTTGAGGCTTACAAAGGTGGAAACTTCTGTTTGTGACTTAACTAAGGAAGCACTCCTAGGAGCACATTGTATAATACTCATTGCAAAGAGCAATGCAGTGGCATATTGGACAATAGCAGGATAAACTTGGGATTGCATGAGAAAGAGGGACACAACATGTACCCAAACAGCACAACACCTAAGATTTTTCCAATACCATGGAAAAACTTTCCCCATCCTGTCAACAAGCCATTCCTATCAGTTTTTCCCTATTTCCACTAGGATCTTTTGCTAAGTCAATAACTGGGTTCACATGACACATTAAGCCACCATGCCTTTGAAGCCCCTTGGCAGGAGTGGCAGAAAGTGTTGCTAACTTGGCTAAGTGGCTTTGATGTTAGCCACCTAAGGTGTCCAAGCAGCACTTTGGACAGAACTCATCAGTTTTGCTGCCATGGTATGCCGTTTCCCTAAGCCCTGGTTCACCTACCTGGTGTGGTAGCAGCACCCATGTCTGTTGCTCATTACCTGCCCAACCCTCACTTGAGGCTTGAGGAAGAAATGCATGGAAGTAGTGCATTCTGCTGGATCTCCCCTAGAGAAGACCAAGCAAAATATGTCCTGGTTGATTGTGGCTGCTGAGCACCTACCATGGCAATTGATGGGGAAGGAAGATGTGCTGTATTCTCCCCTGAGTCAGGAGGAGGCTCAGGAGAACACATGCATATTGTTTGCTGTGGTGGCCCCAGCCCTGGGCGGGGATGGGCGGCCCTGCCAAATTTTGATACAGGCAAGCCGTTCAAGGGGACTGCGGGTGGCACAGTGGTTTAAACTGCTGAGCTGCTGGGCTGGTTGATCGAAAGGTCGACAGTTCAAATCTGCAGACAGGGTGAGCTCCCGTGCTTTGTCCCAGCTCCTGCCAACCTTGCAGTTTGAAAGCACATAAATGCAAGTAGGTAAAAAAAGGTACCACCAATGGGAAGGTAACAGCGTTCTGTGCACCTCAGTGTTTAGTCATGCCGGCCACATGACCATGGAAACTTTCTGCGGACAAACACTGGCTCCCTCAGCTAGGAAATGGAGATAAGCACTGCCCCCTAGAGTCAGGCATGACTGGACTTTAATGTCATGGGGAAACCTTTACCTTTACCTTAAGCCATTCAAGCCTGGAGGAATGTTGTCCATGGGGTCGTGATGGGCCGGATGCGACTTTGCAACTAACAACCACAACAAAGCCATTCAAGTTCCAAATGGCACTTGAGGGTCTGGGAAATGGCAGACACTGGCAGTGCTACTCTGTGAAGGGTAGGGATGGGATACATTGCACTTAACCACCTCAAGAGGAGGTCAAACATAAGGCACCTCTGCCCTGCCTGCTGCCACCAAGCAACCCTTATGGTGGGTGGGAAGGGAATAAGCTGTGTTCTGCTTGTCCCCCTCAAAACAAGAGAGAGAGAGTCAGAAGGGAACATAGCTTGTCCTTGCTGCTGCCAAGATCAACTTGGGGAGTCCTTGGCAGCTGCCCCCAAGTTCTGCTTGGGGCCTTTTGGGCAGTTAACATCCTCGCTCCCCTCCCTTCATTGCTCCCTTAGGGGTCCCGGGAAGAGCTGCCTGAGAACCCCCACTGTGCCTGACTATTTGTTGGCACAACAGGGATTTTTGGCTAAATTTAAGCCTAGGATAACTTATTTAAACCCTGGCTAAAGGAGTCATGCAAACCTGCCCATGGGGGTCTTACATTTTTTCAGACTAAGCCACCCAAAAGTACTTTGTCTTACATACAGATAGCACACAACGATATACTGTTGCTATGGCAATCCATTTTTTCCTCACCAGTGTAATGACTATTACAAAACTTATTTAATACATTTCCATACTGCTACATTAGCCCATAGGGCTCTCTGGGTGGTTTACAATTACAGTAGATAAAAACAATTTAAAAGAATGAAACATTACAATTAAAAACCAATGCAATAATGGAACAGACATCTGTGGGTGACAGATGATGCAACAGCCAATATGGTGGTAGTGCTTGGAATGCTGGGCTGGGACTCAAGAGATGTGGTTTATGGTCATGAGGTTCATTGGGTGACTTTGGGCCAGTGACTGACTGGCAGCCTAACTCACCTTTCAAGGTTTTTCTGAGGTTAATATGGAGAGAGGATAACATGGAGATGAGGACTACCATCACTGTCATGTGTTCCTTGCAGGATATAAATGTAACCATTATCATTGTCCCTGATAATAAAAACATGTTGGAGCTTTGACCCTGCATGCTTGGGCTCCATTACTGGACTTTTGCCACAGCAACTTAGCGTTGGATAGTGCAGCTTGCTATGCACAATGTTTTAAAGCAATCAAAGACTTTCAGCAGTTTCTTCTGTTTGCAACTGTACTGCACTCCATAACATATTCAGTAAGGAACCAATTTAAATATTCAGCTATAACCTCTGCGGCTTCTTTGTAGCATGGAAGATGCTAACCATACAGAACAATAGAGCCAGACACTGGTTGTCATATGCTCCCTTGTATTAAAAGCTAGTACTAAGTATATGTCCCAGTTTACTGTCTTGTCCATGTATCATACCAATAAAAATAAACACAAAGGAAAAAAGAATAAACCCATGTCGTTAACCTTGAAACAGCCCCACACATGGTTGATTTTTTTGCATCTTAAGTAAATGAAGCCAGTGCTAAGCACTGAAAAGATCCGTACAAATTTGCATATGCTATTTTACATATGTTCTCAAGCGTGTATCTTTAAATGATCCCATCTCCTAAAGACATTCCTATTTGTAAAAAAGTGTTGTATGGAGAGGAGAGAGAAATGTATTTGATTTCAGGGAAAAGTCAGGCACAAATAGTCAAGTACGGGGAGAAGAGAGAACAGCAGGAAGGGAAGCCCATATGGGCAGAACACCAACTAATCAAGGGGCAAGAGCTGCAACAGAGTTTATTAGAGATCCTAAACCTTTATTTCAGCGAGTAACCATGGACAGCAGGGTGTGAACTCGAGCCCTAGGGGCGGTCGGCTAACGCCGCCTTTGCCAGTCATTATTTATGGCTATTTTATACTGCAGCAGGCCTACTACCTCTCTTTAATCTCTCTTGGTGTAGCGATGGCTTTTGTGAGCACCGATCACAGCACGAACAAACTGTACCTCGCCTGTTGCGATCAGTGGGCAATACTTGCATGCCTCAGATAAAATTGAGGTCACAAAGAACAATTGGAATAGTAGGAAGAGCAATATTCACGTGTCATAAGATGATTGGGTGGATTGACAACAGAAGAAAAGAAAATTGTTCAAAGAAATATCGTACGTGATCAGCAGATGAGACCAAAGCCTCCTCCAAGAGAATCGACAACAAATTCAATGATCTAGTCACAATTCAGGCTCTGCATTAAGCACCCAAAGGAAACAGGATTCAGTACGGGCGACATTTGGAGATACACTAATGCACTAAGATTCTACCCCTCATATGGCGGCATCCGAACAGAAGCCAGAAATGCATACTGTGTCCGACTCAGCTTTTCTACCTCTATGGCTAGAAGAAGGCCTCGAAGGGGGCGTGGGGAGCGGTGCTGCGATGCGGCAACGCGCGGGATGAGACGCTGAAAATGCGCCCACGGGGCTTGGGGGAGGGGAGTCGAATCGGGGCTGAGTGTTTCCGGGCTTCCTCGTCTCCTGCCTTCCGGTTTGCATTTCTCTCCGGAAGGTTGAGGAAAACGACTGAGCCAACGGTCTGAGCGAGGAAAGGGGCGCGTTTTGAAGAGGGCTTTTCTCGGCGGCGGCGGCGGCGGCCGTGATAATGGACAAGCTCCGGCGGGTGCTGAGCGGGCAGGACGACGAGGAGCAAGGGCTGACAGCGCAGGTGTGGCTCGTGGGAAGGGAGGCGCCGCTGCCGCCGCTTTCCTTTTCCATTCTGTTTTCTTGCCTATTCCCCTGACGGCCCATGCAAGCAATTGTATTGGCTCCGTGCGCTCAGAACTAGCACGGGAAAAGCGCCAGGTGGTGTGCGCACTTGCTCGAGAGTAGCCCTATTTTACGGATGGAGGTTGAACTTCGAGTAAACGTGGGCTTGTACTGCCACCTGGTGCTTTTCACGTAGGTGCCCTCCTTCATTCCGCCTCTAGCCAGGCCGACTAAAGCTTTCCCTCGCTTAGCGAGTAGAGATCCTGTTGAGGCAGAGATGGGGAGTTTGTGGCTCTGTTGATGTTTGGCCTTTGTTGTTGTTAGTCACGAAGTCGTGTCCGACCCATCGCGACCCCATGGACAACTTTCCTCCAGGCCTTCCTGTCCTCCACCATCCCCAGAGTCCACTTAAGCTCACACCAGCTGCTCCAGTGACTCCATCTAGCCACCTCATTCTCTGCCGTCCCCTTCTTCTTTTGCCATCTATTGTTCCCAGCATTAGGCTCTTCTCCAGGGAGTCCTTCCTTCTCATTAGGTGGCCAAAGTATTTGAGTTTCATCTTCAGTATCTGGCCTTCTAAAGAGCAGTCAGGGTTGATCTCCTCTAGGATTGACCGGTTTGATCGCCTTGCAGGCCAAGGGACTTGCAGGAGTCTCCTCCAGCACCGCAATTCAAAGGCCTCAATCCTTCAGCGCTCAGCCTTCCTTATGGTCCAACTTTCACAGCCATACATTGTAACTGGGAAAACCATAGCCTTGACCATACACACTTTGGTTGGCAGGGTGATGTCTCTGCTTTTTAGTATGTTGTCTAGATTTGCCATAGCTTTCCTCCCCAGGAGCAAGCGTCTTTTAATTTCTTGGCTGCAGTCCCCATCTGCGGTGATCTTGGCACCCAGGAAAATAAAATCTGTCAGTACCTCCATTTCTTCCCCATCTATTTGCCAGGAAGTGAGAGGACCGGATGCCATGATCTTAGTTTTCTTAATGTTGAGTTTCAAGCCAACTTTTGTGCTCTCCTCCTTCACCCACATCAAGAGGCTCTTTAGTTCCGCTTCACTTTCTGCCTTGGCCTACAATTCCCAAAACAATAGTCAGCTGTGACTGGAGATGGCAGTTGTGGGCGAAAACATTTGTAGAACTGCAGAGTGTGCGCTCCTATATTCAGGGAAGGAAACAGAATAGCACTTGATTGAATGGTGATGCTAGTTGTGTGCTGGTTTTTTGTCTGGACTGGCTGATGAACAGGACAGTTGGATGGCCATGCCTGCTTAATCTTAGTAAAACTGACAAGATAAGCTGGACCTGGGTTAATAGACTGAAAATGCGGACATTATGTTTGTATATGTGTATGGATATACACAAAAACGTTTCAGATTCACTTGTCTGCCCTGGCCTTAAGCCTAATAAATAGTAAAGCCTGGTCTTAAGAAAAAACCTGTGCCCAGTCTGTTGGTCATACTAAGAATTAGGTATGCCAACTGTGGAGAAAGTTCTGTTTAGGAGAAAAATGCTGCTAGGCAAAAAGAAAATATTGGTTGGTGTCAAGGCTGTTGCTGCTTAAGTAACTTAATTTTATTTATGGTTTTTTCTAGTTTTGACACAGGTATATGCTGAGTTAATCCAAATTGACCAAACTTTCTTTTGAGTACAGTCTTTCCTTCTCTCTCAAGTAATGTGCCCATATCTGTTCTGTACATATTTGACGTTGGGGTTTGAATGTTCTTTAACAGCTGTAATCTACTTATATTCCCTTTCTAGCATTGAAGAAAGCTTTTTGTTCTCCCCTCCCCCCCCCCCCCCAATTTCTGCTAAATCCAGAGTGTGGCAATTTGTTGAAAAATGAGTATATCTAAGAAACGTGAGCAGCTAAATATATTTACATAGCACTTTAAGGATACCAGAACAGCTTGTGGACATGCTTATTGTAAAATAAAGTTGTTGTGAAACTGGCTTAAAATTTAACTTTGTGGCTTCCATGTGTCCTGTGCCTGGAATGAGTCTAGTGATCACTGCTATAGCAATGCCTTGTGCTTGGTATTTGAACTAGACAGCCATTTTCAGCCATCTGGATAAAGTGTTAGGGACAGGAGGAGGCTGGGACAGTGATAGGAATCAGTGTGAATCATCTACCCCAATTCCTTCCCCTCCCCACAACATGTTTCCTTCCCAAGGCCCACTTGTGATGGAGAGGGCACCTGTGCTGGCTGTGAGAGGAACATGGTGGTGTCTCAGTCTTCAGAGTCTCAGTTCCAAGATTACAGGAATTCAGAGCTGCTATTCCAACTAATGTTAAGTCACCCCTCCTCCCCACCCCAGGAAATGTCAGGAGGCCATAAGAGTGTGTCCTGAAGTGTCTACTTATTTTTTGTTTGTATAAATTGGAACTAGATTGGCACTACATATTTTCTTGTGATGCTTCATGGTTTTTAAAGTTGTCAAGGTTCTAAAAACTTATGAAAATTTGACAAAATATGTGTCAAACATCAGTGAACCCTCTGATAAGGAAAGGAGTGCTTCTGTCTCACTTGTTCTAAATGCTGAATTTGTAATAATTTCTCCCCTTGCTGCCTACATAAGGATAAAGATTTGGATCAGAAAAGGTAAGCTATATGTTATTACATTTTGGAAAGCTTTAGTTATTCATTGCTGTGAACAGGGAAGAAGACTTTCCATTATTTGTCTTTGATCATTGTGTTAACTAACGAAGTATTATCAGGTTCCTGCAGATGCCAGTATCTTCTTTTGCTGTTATGTTCTCCCTTAAGCAGGAGGCAACATAATGGCTGAAGAAAGGCAATGACCTGTTTTACATATAATGACAACCTTTGGCTTGTTTAACTCAGGGATTATTGAGGACTAAGCACAAGTTAGTCCAATGCCCCCTGCCTGCTTGTTACTTCTGCTTTGCTAAACAACCCAAGCCTCTTTCCTGGGAGATTCAAATTTAAGTTCCAACTCAGAACTCTAGGTTCTTGAGGGTTAAAGAGATTTTAAAGCTGCTTTTTGGGGCACATTGCCATCCCAAGGTAGTTTACAGTACCACAAAACCATACACACACACACACACACTTAAACTAATCACACTCTAGTAGGAGCAACCAATGATTTCAAAGCACCAAAGGCAGACTGGAACAAATGACTCTTTGGTGCTTTATTTTTTTCTTTAAATCCAGCAGTGATGAAACTATATGTATCTCCATGCGGAGGGAATTCCAAAGGTCACCAGTGAGAAAGCCCTAACTATAATATACCCTCTCCTGCAGCCCAATGGCTTTTGCCAGAGAGTACAATCTCTGATACTGATTGTGTAAGTTTCTTTTATAACTAGGCCAAAATTAATTCTGAAAACAGGCATGTTAAATCTGCACTTAGGCTCTCTTGAAACTGGACTACTTGAAGGCTACTTGATACAAACAAATTATGGGAGCAGTTTATCTTTTAGGGCAAGTGTTAGGCATATGTCATAGTAAGGGTTGTATAAAAGTTGTATTGGTTTGATGGGTTGCGAGCAAGGATTGCAAGTTTTCAGGAGCATTGCAATGTACCTCCTGGCTCCAGAAAGTGGTGCTAGCTTGTATAATGCTTGTGGGTCGGGTCATCCATTGTGCACACTTGGCCATTCTTTACTGCTATTTTTATTTATGTATAAAGGGGTAGCCAAGTTAGTCTGTTGTACAAAAAAGCTTTGTGACGCCCTTAATCAGCTAAACATACCCATAACTTTCTACACTCTGCGCTTCATCAGATGGATGATGTGTTAAAATCAGATTGATTTCTGACTGCCTGCACACTGCTACTTGATCTGCTTTCAGAGCAAACAAGAACATTTCCTTTTCCCATAAAAATAAACTGCCCTGCCCAGGAACTTCATGTCCTTCCTTTTGGAAAGTTCTGAATACTTAATAGTTTCTAAACAGGCATTGCAAGTTGTACCGATACACATGCTCTGAAATTTTCAAATTTGGATACTTTTCTTTGGGGTGCAGGTGACCTGAGCATGATCTGATTTAGCATATTAAATTGACTTGTATTTGGAAACAAAACAAAATGAAAAATTTCCCATGTTAATTTTATGTCTCTGTATCCATAAATGGTTGAACTAGAATGTTTGATTAGGGGCAAGTTCAAGCACAATAAATTTAGTTTAAATGGCTGGACATGCACATGGTGGGCATGTCGTGAGCGGAGCCGGCTGGAGCCGGGAGTCAGACTAGATGGCCCGGGAGGCCCCTTCTGACTCGCTCTGTTTCTATGTCTGAACAAATTCAGAGCTCTGTTTTGTGTGTGTGTGTATTGGAATACATACAACATTATAAATACAATAGTTTGTGACAGTTCAAGGAAATGAAAGAGTCATTATTCTGTGTTGTTTCTGAAAGTGAAAAAAAAACCACAATTCTACTTCTTGGTTTGTTTGCACTTATAGTCAGAGGTGAAATAAGAATGTTAGTTTTGATTCTGAATTGATTTGCACAGCCAAAGAGTTGAATTTATAACCTGACTTTTAGTTTGGATTAATTTTATTTGTGGCTTTCTTTTACCTCTTGTTTACAAATCAGTAACTGCAATATTCTTCACACACTACCTAGGGATTATTATCTAAGAAACATTATTTGCAACATTTGTATTTGAAACCATTTGTTATTAATTTTATTAAACAATTAATGTAAAGAAATAGCAAAATTCCTGTGGAAAAATAATGTTCCACATTGCAGCCTGATTTACCTACTGTGCATCACATTTTATGGTATGAGAAGCATAGTCAATGCATGCTCCAGCCCAGGGGTGGGCAGTGTCCAGGCTGGATGCAGCCCTTCATGCCTCCAAAAACTGTAAAAACAAATTAAAAGTGTGACTGAAACAGCCAGACTGAAGCTTTTTTGGTATTCCATACATATTTAAACATATATTTAGTGCTGCAAACTGTTTGTGCAGCCTGTGTGTTGTATCTGGGGAGGATGGAGTCTCTGTACCTCCCAGAGTTGCCCACCCCTGCTGTAGGTGATAAATTTTGGGCAATAAAAAGGTCTTGATAACAGCTCTGCAAATATTTATTTATTTTATTTATTTATTACAAGCTTTTGTATGCTGTCCTATTATACAAAATCTCAAGACAGCTTACAATATTTAAAAGAACAATTAAAACAACAATTTCTAATAAATAATAGAAACAGAACAAAACAATAAATCACAAAGCAAACAGAGCGACTGAAGGTTAAAAATTGTTATATTTTAAAACACTGTTTAACTAAAAAGGTTTTGGCCTGGTGCCAAAAAGAGTATAAGCTTGGCGCCAGGCGTACCTCTCTGGGAAGTACATTCCAGAGTCTGGGTGCCACAGCAGAGAAGGCCCTACTCAGAGTTGATGACCTTTTTACCTCTCTTAGAGAGGGCTCCCGAAGCAGGGCTTCTCCCACAGATCTTAAGGGGCGCGAGAGCGTATAAGGAAGGAGACCTTCCTTCAGGTATCCTGGTTCCAAGCCATTTAGGACTTTATAGGTCAAAAGCAGCACCTTGAATTGGGCCCGGACTTCAGCTGAATAGAAGAAACTACTGCCTTTGGTGTCACTTGTCTTGCACACTGCTATTGCACTAGATCAAAAAGAGGAAGCTCTCGGCTAGCAAAAAGCCACCTTTGAATCCAAGTCACAGTGTGTGCAAGCTGTGTCTCCTCTCTGGCAACTATCTGACTAGGGAACTAATAGAAATGGTATTCCTGCCTGAAGGCCTTCATTGTGTGAATCGTGCTTGTATATATACAGTCTATTTAAATTGTGTTTTACACTGGATATTGTGATTCTGACATCTTCACTTTGTACTGATAAAGATTTTATCCTAAAGAGAGTTCTGCTATTAAAACCTACTTTCTTCTTTGTCCTTTTTTTATCCAAAGGTGCTTGATACTTCATCTCTTAGTTTTAGTACTCGAGTGAAATGGTTTGCTGTATGTTTTGCAAGTGGCATCTTGTGTTCTATTCTTGTAAGTAAATGATTTGAGAAAAGTACATCTTACGTTGATATATTTGTACTTGGTTTTTTTCCCTTTCTGTACAAAAGTTCCACAGATACATGATTGCCTCAAGGTAAACAATTATTAAACCACTTGTTCTGATAAGGGTTATGGGATTATAGTCCTTAGAATAAAGGTGAGAGAGTTCATGATTGAATATTCTTCCCATCAAAATCTTCCTGTTTGTGTAAAGCTAATATGGCTCTGTTAAGCATCAAGACTTGTCTTTTCTGGCATAAGTCTTCAGTGGGGAACTGTTCAAAAATGCCCTGAGGGTATGACTGTAAGGCTTCTGCATGATCATGTGTATGTATGTAAGCTGCTTTCCACTTAAAAATGGATAGAAATTGCCTCTTCTCATAAAAAATAGCTCAAAATAACTGCAGTAACTAAATTTAGAACAAATTATTTTTACGTTCATGCAAACTAATATGCATTTATCCGTTTGTGCTGCTTTTACTACTTGATCGTATTCAGACTGGGCAATTTGTGACCCTCCAGTTGTTTTGCCAACAATGCCTATAATTCCTTAATGTTAATCAGAACCATGCTTTATGAGTGATCAGCAGTCAGAGAAAGCCTTGAGAATGAATGCGCATGTGTGTACACCCATGCTGGTACAAGCTATAGAAGGAGATTGCCTGGAGAGAGCTTTCCAGAAAGAGAATTACTGAGTGTGGATGTTGCACAAGGAAAGAATATATTGTTCTGAAATGGCTTAAATGTGTGCTTTTATACTTCACTTGTTGTCATTAAGAATAGTGATCATATAAATGATAAATCAAGCTTTCTTAAGTCTCACATATATGAGTTCCAGATAAACATCTAGAAGCTATTAAGTTTAGTATATCCAACTGCCAGTAGAGAGTAATATAGCAATGTAAGAAGTACACTGGATCAGACCAAAGACCTGTCTAGCCCAGCAGTCTGTTCACACAGTGGCAGTCAGCTCCCTTTGAGAAGGCCCCAAGCAGGGCATGAGTGCCCATGTTCCCTAGTAGCTATACTGCAAGGTGTATATAGCCTTCATGATTAACACTCATTGATAGCCTTATTCTCCATGAATTTGTCTAATGCCTCCAAAAGTCATTTGCTTTGGTGGTTATTCCTATGCTATGTGGTAAAAGTCTTTTAAAATCTTATATTTCTTGTCATTCATCAAAATGGCTCTGGGTTCTAATGTTACCAGGGGTGGGATTTTTCCTTCTCCACACCATGCATTACTTTTTACACCTCTATCATGTCTCCCTGCACTCAGCTAAACACTCATAGGCATTGCTACCTTTCCTCATAGGGAAATAGCTTTAGCCATTTGTGGTTAAGTTTGTTATTGATTTATTTCAGTAAAATTAAATGTATGTTACTTAGATTCTGCTATACAGATAAATTTTGCAACTGGCTTTCTTTTGTATAGGGAACAGCATTTCTTTGGCTCCCAGGTGGGATAAAACTCTTTGCAGTATTTTATACCATAGGAAATACTGCTGCATTAGCCAGGTATGGAAGGATTTCTTTATTGCTGATGTTTTTAAACGAGATTCATATTTGGTGAGAACTGCAAACATCCAAACTGAGAATAATATTCTGTGTGCTATGTTAAAAGTATACCCATAATAAAAAAAAACACAGTGAATCGCTCTAAAATGTATCACTGAATGATTGTATTTGTTCCTGGCTGTCTACAGGTATTTGGTAAAGATTTCAAAAAACCCGAAGTGGATGCAACTCATTTTAAACTAGTCCTTATATAATTACATTGGCTCAGAAAATATTGATGTCACATAAAGGGGCAGTAAGGGGTTGGGGATCGCTGCTTATGGGGAGGTTCTAACATTTGTATAGGGTGGATGCTCCTATTTTTCAAGATTCAGAAGTTTACTCCAGTAGTAATTTTGTCAGCCAAAATGTCAGTTCTGTAGAATTGGTAATGCCTCTCTGTTGAATAGTAAACCACTGCTGATCTTTGTCCACTTTGCTCCAGGTAAAACTTAGGTGTAAATATGCCTAGGGTATAAACCAGATGTCTCTTTCAGGCATCCTGGAGAAAGAGCAGAAATTGCTTTTGGATATTTTAGAAGAAATTAAAAGCGTTGGACTACTGCTGCCATGGCGAACATGCTCATTAGAATTACAAAACTGATTTATTGTTTGAAAATGAATGTTTCATTGGTGATGGTAGTGTGATTTAGTCTGTTAGTATGTCTCCTATCCAGATGGGCTTTTGACAATTTTCTGGAGCCAAGCACTGTGTTAAGATAGCTTCTAACTTTATAATATTTCATTATTTAAATTGATAGTGATTCTATGGCACTTCATAAAATTCTACATCTAGCTCACATTCAAGATTGCAGGACATACTGCTGCCAGCATGACTCATTTTTACTCTAATTACTCTTTACACACTTGTAGTAAGAGGGTATAATGAATCTGTTTTCATGGGTGCCCCCTTGAAACTTTGAACCAGTGCCCTCTTCCACACCACCACTCTCCCTGGTCACCTTTTAAGGCTTAACACTTAAGCAGACTTTGGCCAAGTACTTAGATCATTGTTTTACTCATTGCTTGCTTTCTTCCAAACCAGTACTTGCTTCCTGATGGGTCCTGTGAAGCAACTGAAAAGGATGTTTGAACCCACAAGACTCCTTGTGACAATTGTTATGCTAGTAAGCAGCATCTGTTTTTTCTGTTTGAAACTGACAAGGATAATGCTGAGTTTCCCCGAGGGTATGAGGGATCACATGAGTGGAAGCAGGAGTCAGACTAGATGGCCCAGGAGACCCCTTCTGACTCACTTTTTTTGTTTCTATGTACTCTGGCAAAGTTGGTAACAGGAATGTGCAGGAATTACTAATAGCCTCAGTTATAATCTATTTTAAAATTCTGATGCTGGAAGACATGTTTTGTATTATATAAGACAGATTGGTTTGCAGCTAGAATCAGTAGGTTGTATATGGACCACTGGAGCTGGTGATCAGTTCTGTCCAACTTTGAGTGGAATAAATCATCCAGACTTAATGCTTGGTATAGTGAGGCTGCTCAATGCTTAAGTGGAATATTTTGACCTTGAGATGCATTTTCCACTTCATGAGATTTGTTGAGATAGGGAAAGGGATGGGCAGGTGGTGCATTCTGCTTCTAGAAAGATACTAAATAACAAAACATCCTTGAATGTGTAGATAATGGGTTATATTCAGCATTATACTACTGGAGGAATTAAGAGTTGATGCTGTGTTAGCAGTTGCATACCTGCTAGTAGAACTAGCTGAATGCTTTGTGCAAATGGAATCAAAGTAGAGGATTTGGTCATTTGCACAAGAATAAAATTTGGGGTTTACACAAGTATTAAAAGCTCTACACTAACAATATGACCCCACTGGATACAGCCTTCTGTATCCTAATAGATTCTAATAGATTCCCACGGCTGAAATGCTGTACTGGGAGAATACTGCATAAAAAGTGTTTTGCTTGTATATTTACTGACTTTTGTATTTGTTTGTTTTTTCTTTTCTCCAGTTGTCTTTCATCCTCACCTTATGTGCTGTGTTCTGGGTAGGTAGTATTGGCAATATTCTGCACTTTGTAAACATCTGTGGCAGTAAGTTTGCTTTTTCTAACGGAACTGTTCTTACACAACCCCAAACCAGTTTCCAAGTTATGGGGTTTTTTTAAAGTAATGCAGTTGATGCCATGGATTATCTGCTGCAGGAGTCTCTAGCCTTTTTGGATTCATATGCACACTTTTGAATTTGAGAATTGTGGGCACCACCACAAAATGGTACCCATGGAGGATGTGGCTAGTAGCAAAATGTCTGATGATTTGGCTAGTCATGAGGCAAGCAATTCACTCAACAAACAGAGTAGAAACAGAGGAAGTAAACTCTAAATTCAGTCCCCATATTTGATCTTATAGAAGCATGCATACAATTTAAGTGGCAATTGTATGCATGCTTACTTATAATTCAGTGAGAATTATTTCTGGCCATATAAGATTGCTGCCCTCATTCTAACCGCCGCTCAGCATGCACACATCTTTCCTCAGTCTCAGAAGGAAGGAAAGGGTTTTCCCTACCTTGAGTCCAGACTCTGGCATTCCATTCTCCATCTGGCACTCTTATCACCTGCTCTGCCATCAGAACTCTTGCCTTGGAAAAGGATGCTTTCACTCTCTTTCTCTGTATGAGAGAGTCAGAAAGAGAGACAATTAAGAGATGAGGCCAGGAAGGAAGGGAGGGAGAGCGAGCGAGCGAGCGAGCATGAGCTCTCACAAGGCTGGTGACTGAATGGGAAATGTAGCAAAGAAAACAAGTACAGGAGTGAGGCTGTGTCAGGTAATGTGTGGTGGAGAGAAATAGTTAGGCTGGTAGTGGTGTTGGCAAAGGGAAAAAGTCTTTGTGGGTAAGAGATTAGACAAGGCTGGGAAATAACTTTTTCTTCTTTTCCTGCCTGCTTAACAGCTGATAGCTGGTTAATTCAGGAAGAGAAAGGAGAACCTTGTGTCCTAACATTTTTCCAGTTTGTTAATTAAAAACATTTCTTGAAAGTCAGGAAGCAGAATACTTTGTGGGCATTCTCGATGGTCTGTGGAGGTATACTGATAACCCACAAGCAGTATGCTGGGAACCCCAGTCTACCATTTAAAAAAAAAATCCATATTTTCTGGTCCTCAAGGGGTGAACCAGCCAAATGGAAAAATTTGCATTTTCCATGGTATAAGGTTTCTTGGAAGTAAATGTTATTGGGCTTGATGGAAGCTATTTCTGATTAAATATGCACAGATTGAAATTTGTGTATCATGTAAGCTTGCGTGCATCAGTGGCCTCAAAAGTGTTGCATGTGTCCTTTATTGGAAGTGTACTGCAGTGTGTTTTCTTGTTTCAATTAAAAGTTAGCTTGCAGTTGGAGCTTCAAAGGTTGATCTAATACTAATCGGTTAAAAAAATTGCCCCCAGTTCAATATATATTCCTTATCACTTTCCTTAGTGGCATAAGAAAGGACTAGCTGTGCTTTTCTGCATCCTGCAATTCTTGGCAATGACCTGGTAAGATTTTTTGTATATTTTTATAACTTACTCCTGCTATTTAAATTCTGCATGTGAAACTAAACAGTAGATGATATTGTAGGCTATGGCAAGGTGACGCAATAAGTATATATTTTTCATTGTAAAAAAATATATATATAGCTAATTGATGGCCAGTTTGCAGGTATCAAAAATTGGAATTTACTTGGTCCTGCTCCTAGAACCTGAAGTGTTTCAGGATCTGACTACATAGGTAGCAAACAAAGTATGTATGTGTGCATACCTCTGGTTTCCAGATTGTTCTGGGAAGCCCTAGGGTTCCTTGGAACATTACTAGGACTTCTTCAATGGGAAGATTAGTGGTACTAATCAGTCATAGTAAACAAGCTTTCTCATCAGTACTGAGCTTTCCTTTCAAAGTGCACCCCGAGGGAGAGTGTTCAGGTGTGTTCCAGTTAGGATGTAGTTCATACAGTACAGAGGGAAGGCTCAAGAGGCCGAGCTAGCATCAGCCATAGAGCTTGTCCTGCTATCCTCAAATCAGCATGCATAGGCTTGTCTACTACAGAATCAATATTAAAAGCATTCCCTGAACATAGATTTGAAAGCTCTTGAAGGATTTTTTTTAATTCTAAAAAGTGTTTCAGAGAAGTTACATGGAAACAAACATAACTTAGCATTTAATGTGGGCTGCAACTAGACCTTTTAAGTTTTTCAACTCTGTGTGCATATCAGAGGAGGCTGGTGGTTCCTATACTGTGGGCTCCTCATCTAGCATAACTTTTAGTCTGAACTGATAGGAGAGGTAGGCCTATTTTAAAGGGTGAAGTGCAGCACCATGGATAGCTCCTATAATGCTTACACTACACACTGCAATGAATAAACTTTTTCTGAATTTCTAATAAGAATGAGGTGACAAGTTCAACATGGTGTGTAAGTTGGAGCAAAAATTTCCAGTGTTTTTAATGCTGGAATTTTTCAGCTTTACCCAGACCAGAGAGCACTGGACATTGTAAATCTCTCCTCCCCTCCCCGAGAGCGAGAGAGCGCAAGAGAGAGAGAGAGAGAGAGAGAATGAGAGAGAATGAGAGAGAATGAGAGAATATTCATATGACACTAAGTTAACTATCCTGATGCATAGATGTGGGGTTTGTGCATCTTAAACTAGCACGGGCTTTCTCTTGAACACCTGAAAGAGAGTATATGGTTCCGTTTGTGTTCAGCTGAGGTGTGAGTTGGGGAACATAGGATATAAGTACTGAAGACAGAGCCAGGTGGAAACAGTTGTGAAGTGCTGCCTAAAGTATATTTCTTTCAAACAAAAAGGTGAGCACTGAGGTATTTTCTTATGATGCCTTCATCCTGTTTCTAAAATTGAAGCATCTCTTCTGTGCAAATGGATTCAGGTTTCACTTAAGGGGATAGAAGCTGCCACTCATGATTGTTCAAAGCAATTGCTACTTGTCCCCGCTTAATAGTTGATGACATAACAATAACTCTTAAGGGGATTTGGTGAATAATGCCTTCAAAGAGCAATGTTTGATAGGATAGCATAAAGTTGAAACACATGATGGCTAAGATTTATAAGATTTGATGTCAGTAAATATAAAGGGGAAAATCCTTACTTTAATGTTAGACTACTAATGTTAGTCACTAACTAAGTCATAGCTTGAAGTCATAGGCTGTAGCAGCTACAAAAAAAGTAAACTCTGTGTTAGGAAAGGGATTCAGATAAAATTGCCAGTATTGTAATGCCTGTATACTAATTGTGCAGCCACATTTCTAACAATGTACGCAGTTCTGGCTGCTGTTTTGAAATCTGGAAAAAGTGCAGAAAAGGGCAATCTGCATTAAGAGACTTGAAAGAAACACTAAAGTTTTCTGGGGTTTCCTATCTTATAAAAATGGGGACATCATAGAGCATTATAACTTGTGCAACAGGATTGTCACCTAATGAAATGGATTGGCAGTGGAGATGCAGTTGTTATGCACTTTGCTGCCACATGATGTGGAAATGGCTGCTGAGTTAGTCTGATAGCCTTGGCAATGAGCAAAGTATTTCCATTTAGAGAGCAGTGGTCTGATTGAGCAGGACTTTTTAATATTCTTATTTGATGTTGAATGAACTGATGATTTTCCTTGGATCAAGAATTGTATTTACCTGTTCTTGTCTCTATGAAGGTGACCAATCAAGAAATTTGTTGTGTTCTTCAGCTTCTTTGGTTTTGTTGTAATTCCATTGGGTCAGCCTGTGCACCCTCTTAGAGAAGGCCAAGTAATTTACTTACAAGAAAATCTGAAATTAAGAGTGGAGTCAGGGAGCTCTTGGCAGTACATCCAGTTCTTTCAAAAGCCCTTTTATTCTAGAGTTGCGTATAATCTAAACACTGATCTTAAAGGCTTATTACACTGAACAGAGTTATTTGAAGGTGGACTAAAATAGGATGAATGAACTGGATTGTTGACTTTTACTATTTCTCTTTCAGGTACAGTTTGTCATATATCCCTTATGCAAGGTGAGTGGCCTTGATCTCTTCCCCTGAAAACTTACACCTGGCACAAGTTATCTTACAGCTTCTTAAAACTGGTCTTGTTGGAAAGTGTTCTCATTTTTTTCCATTGTAATAGCCATCTATCACATCTTAATTAAGTATAATTCACTGTTGCTGTGAATGCGCTCACTTCCTGTTGCAGTTAGGTTAGCCTAGCATGATGTGGCTTCTTGATTCATTAGACAAGCAAGAGTTGAAATCCTGATCTTCAGCACTAACACACAGAGAGCAGATAGGTTAGGTGGTTGCTAGCAGCCTCTTCTTAACCAGGTGAAGGGGCTGCCCTGGTGCTTTCATTCTACCTGTGGCACTTTTTGCAAGCAGTATTCCTACAGGTAGAATGTCCCAAAATGGTAAGTGCTTCTCAGGTACACCAGTTTGGGGGTTGGCATTTCCAACCCCATTTTGTTTCAGCTGGCAGAACCTGGCATGCAGCAGTAGATCCTCTGCTTCTCCCTGACCATGCTCTGTATTGCTCTGTCTTCTCTTCGAACATTCCCTCTCTTAAAGGGACAGGTTCTCACCTTGAAATATTTCTTTCTGAAAGCAGTACATGCTGCTTGTGAATTCTAGTTCACCAGATGCTATGAAGTTTATTTTAGAACACTATAGTTTGAGTGTAATCAAAAGTTAAGTCAGAATTCAGAGGTCAGTAATGCTGTGGCTTCCCATAATATTTGCCAAGTTGTCTTTATTGTAATTTGATTCCATAAGATAACATACTGTCTGAAGCATGCTACTTGCATCACCTGAATATGTTTAAGTAGCCATTCCATTTGTGTAGCCCAGTGGGGTTTATTCTCAAAGTTTACTAAGGATTGTGGCATTAAAACTACCCATTAGAAAGCTGGGACAATTGTTTTAGGGTTGGGAGGAACCCTTTCAGAATCCCATCCTCTAGCATCTGCAGACTTCCTCTTGTGCTCAGCCCCATCTTGCAAAACGTGTGTCCAACTTGCAGCCTTGCCCCATCAGGTGTATCTGCTCAAAGAGCAGCTGCAGGACATGGAAGGAGGGTACTGCGAGTGGCCATGCCAGGCACCACTCTCAGCAATCAACCTTCTTCCTCACCGGCTGTTGCCAGCAGTGGCAGCACCAGGTGCAGAAGAGGGCTGCTGCTTGTGCAGTGTGTGGGGTTTGATTCCTGGCGGGTGCCCTATAAACACTGGGCGCCTCTCCAGGAACTCAGATTCAGAACTGCTACAAAGGAAGCTGAGCCCAGAGAATTGGGCAGATACGTGCCCCCAAACAGATTCCTCCCACATCCTGAAATTGTCCATACGAGGCATTTCTCTAGTTCGAAACATCACAGTACCTAACCTTGGTAAATTCCTATACCTGGTGACTAAATCTTGCTATCATAATCATTTTGAAGTAGTGTAAAAGCAATTTTTACTATAATGTATTGATACAAATGTGCATATTGATAAATTATTTGCAGCACATGCATACTGCATATTCTGAAATTGTTTTTTTTTTCTTTTAAAGGGATGCTGTGATGAAATGCTTCACATCCTGCCTAGCTTAATGTGAACAAAGAGCAACTTTTTGATGATTTTGGAAGCCAACTTCATTTCTTCGAATTTACTCAAAACGTTTCAGCTCATGAAACAGCAGCATCCCTCTTCCACAATTGGGATTAATTGTGTTAGCAGTTATTGTTTAAAAATATATAAACATCTGTGTTTCAGGAAAACATCATATCCATGCATGTTCTTAAAATGGCTTCTTGCCTCACACAGTGATCTTAAAACTGGTGGTTTGGTTTCTGCTAACATTTAATCTCAGCATTTAATGTTCTTTGGGTTTCAGGTAAAATGCATGTAAATACTTGTGTCTCAGTTTTTCTATTTATCTTTCTCATTTGTGCATTATTTGTTCTATGCTTCCCAAAGACATTTAAAATTGTAAAATGAAGTATTCTACTAAATTTATAGCTAATGGGACTCTTCTGAAATGTTTAAACATACATTGTATGGGAGAACAGAATGTGTAACAGGGCTGTTTTTAAAGACCCTTTTTGTTAGGTTTTTGTTTCAAATGCCAACTTTTTATACTGTGATACCTAAAATACACTTGACTAAAAGTGCTTATGAGTAATATATTAAACCAGTGATTATAAAATAAATTTAAGTATTTAAACTTTTGTAGGCTAATTCCTTTGAATCATGAATGTAATAGACAACATGCTCTGCAGAGTATTTTCCTTTAAAAATTGAGTATGTTCTAATTTAATTCCAAACTGTGGCTTAGCACTATATGAAAGACACTTGAGCCCTTTGGCTGCTCTTGCATATTTGGTTTGGTTACATTCTTCTTGCTTGCAGTAAACCTGCTGTACAGCCTGGGTGGGCAACCTGGAGCCCTTTAAATGTTTGAACCACAACTCTGACAAGCCCAGCCAGTAGCCAGGAATTATGAGAATTATAGTCCAAAACACCTAGAGGACACCAAGCCTATCCCTGTTCCACAGTTCTGCATATTGTGCCTGTTTATTAATAAGCTCCTGCACTCCCATATGCCTCAGTTTGTTCACCATTGGCCAGTTGGTTACCACACCAAGAGACAACTTAGATGAGGTGTGACAAATCTGTGATTAACTCTCCTGCTGTCTGTCCAGGCTCTAAGCTAGCTTTGACAGCGTTTGGAACAGAGCTGCAAGGTGAGGAGGAATTAATCTTTCCCTTTGCACTCAATTCACCAATGCAGATGTTTTCTTTCCTCTCCCCTGCCCCAGCTGCTATTAACTTGGGAGAGGAAAAATGAAAGGGCTTATTCACAAAAGACCCTTCTAGAGCATCTGAACTAATATAAATAGAGCACGGAATAAAAGGAACACAGCACTGGATCTGTTACTACCACCCAGTCAAGGAGAAGATGAGGATGAAACTTTTGAAAAACAAACTGCCAGTGTTTCAAGGAGGCATGATGCCATTGTTACAGGGGACTTCAATTTCCCTGATATCTGTTGGGAGAGAAATTTTGCCAAACATGGCCCCTCCAAGAGATTCCTAACATGTTGCTGCTAATTTCCTCAGTCAGAAAATGGAAGAAGGAATAAATGGAATGGTGATTCTTGATGGGAAGACCTAGTGGACAAAGTGGCAGCTAGAGCATCTCTGGTGGAATGTGACTCTGCCATAATTGAATCCTTGATTCTAAAGGAAGCAAAAGCCAAATATAGGTAAACATGTACTCTGGATTTCAAGAAAGACAATTTTAATAAACTAAGAACAATGATAATTAAAGCCCCATGGCAAGTGACTCTGATGAGAAAAGATGTCTATAGGAATTTTTAAAAGGAATTTCTAGGGGCAGAATTACAAACAATTCCAACAGGGAAAAAGGGTAGAATATAACAGAAGTGTGTGTGGCTTCACAAAAATCTTAAAGATGATTGGGAAACAAAAAAGGATATGAATAGGAAGAGGGAGGAAGGCCAGGCTACAAAGGAACAATACAAGCAGGTAGCACAGAGTTGCAGGGAAAGTGTCAGGATGCCTAAGCTAGGAATTAACTGTGGCTAGAGAGGCATGCTAAAAGCAATAAAAAAGCTGTCTTAGGTTTGACCAAAGTAAAAAAAGGAAAGAAACCAGGGTTTAACTACCCAGTGTGGATAGCAAAATGATAAGGGATTATAGGAAAAAAAAGGTGATAAGAGATTATAGAAAAAGTAGAAGTGCTCAATTCCTACTTTGGCTCAGTCTTCTTCCAAAGGAAGATCTATGATCTTCCTAAAGACAGGGAAGTACAAGCTGATAGAATAGCAGCTCAGAATTGATAAGCAAATGGTCAAGCATCATCTAATTGGGTTGAAGGAGTTCAAATCTCCAGCAACTGCTGAATAGAGTCATAAAGGAGCTGGTGGAAGAACTCTTAGGACTATTACCTTTGAGAAATCGTGGATAATAGCAGAAGTCCTCATGCTTTCTCCAGCCAGATGACTACAAAAGGCCAAACATTGCCCCTACTTTCAAGAATGGAAAAAAAGAACCTGGGAGCTACAGACCAGTCAGACAGACATCAATCCCTGGGAAAATTCTGGATCAGATTATAAAGCAGGGAGTCTGCAAACATCTTAAAAACAGTGCAGGGATTACTAGAAGCCAAACATGGAATTCTCAAGAACAAAACCTGCTAGACTAATCTGATTTCATTTTTTGATAGGGTAACCTTCCTGATGGATTGTGGGGATGCTGAGCACATTATCTTAACTTAGACAACGCTTTTGATAAAGTGCCTTATGATACCCTGATTAGCAAACTAGCTAAAGTGAGCTTGATGGAACAACTAACAGATGGATCCACAGTTGGCTACAGAATTGGACTCAGAAAGTGCTCATCAAAGGCACCTGCTTAGACTGGGGAGAGGTAACAAGTGGGGTACTGTCGGGTTCAGTCCTGGGCCCAGCACTGTACAACATTTTCCTTAATGACTTGGATGAAGACGTGCAGGGAACGATTATCAAATCTGTAGATGAAAAAAACTGGATGGAATACTAATACCCTGGAAGACAGATAGAAGATTGAAGGTGATCTCGATAGGTTGGAGCACTGGGCTGAAAAGAACAGAATGAAATTCAGTAAGAACAAATGCCAAATTCTGCACCTAGGAAAAAGAAACCAAACGCATCATTCCAATGGAGAATACTTGGCTCAGTAATACTGCAAGTAAGAAGGATCTTGAAATTGTTGTAGATCACAAGCTGAATATAAGTCAACAATGTGATGTGGCTGAAAAAAAGGCAAATGCTGATTTAGGCTGCATTAATGGAAGTATTAAGTGGACTCCACAGTAAACATAGATCCAGTGCATGTTCTGCACTGTAGAGGCATTCTACACTGTAAACATAGAGGCATTCTTGTCCTATTTTCAGTTTCAATTTTCAGCATAAGTTTCAATTATTGAGGCCTGATGACATGGACAAGATACCTGGACAAGTCCAGTTTACCATCTGTTTACTTAATCCTTGCCTAAGTTGGTTGGTCATTCAGTCTAAGGAAAGAACAGTGGCCTGGATCCAGGAAATTGTGAATTCTCTGAAGGAATGACTGGTCCCTTCTATGTTAAAAAAGGCAGTGATTAGGCCCCTTTGGAAGAAGACAAACCTGGATCCAGAAGATGTTAGCAATTTTAGGCCAGTTCCTGGGCAAGGTGCTTGAGTGGATGGTGGCTGGACAACTCCAGGTGCTCTTGGAAGAAACTGAGTATCTGGACCCATTTCAGTCCAGTTTTAGGCCTGGTTATTGAACAGAAACTGCCTTGGTCACCCTGTGGGATGACCTTTGTTGGGAGAAAGACGGAGTGTGTCCCTGTTGGTTTTCCTGGACCTTTCAGCGGCATCAGATAACATTGACCATGGTTTCCTTCTGGATAGACTGGCCAGGTTGGGAGTCAGGTGCACTGTTCTGCAATGGTTCCGCTCTTACCTGGCTGACCGATTCCAGATGGTTTTGCTGGGGGAATGTAGCTCTGCACCATAGAAAATATGTCATGGAGTACCACAGAGCTCCATTTTACTCCCCCAAACTTTTCAACATTTTCATGAAGCCCTTGGGAGAGGTCATCAGGGTTTTGGGCTGAAGTGTCATCAGTACACTGCCATCAGCTCTACCTCTCATTTTCATCAAACCCAGGTGAGGTGACAGTCCTAAACCAGTGTCAGGCTGGGGTGATGGGCGGGATGAGGACCAACAAATTGAAACTTAATCCAGACAAGACAGAAGTTTTGTTGGTAGGTGGCTTCCATGTCCAGATGGAAGATAACTGCCCTGTCTTGGATGGGGTTGCACTCTCTCTTCAAGACGGGCCGGAGCTTGGGGGTGCTTCTGGACCCTGAGCTGCCCCTGAACCACCAGGTTGGCTCGGTGTCCAGGAGTGCCTTTTATCAGCTCCAATCAATTTTGGCCATATCTGGACAGGCAGGACCTAGCGACGGTAATGCATGCCCTGATAGCCTCTCTGTTGGACTACTGCAATGTGCTCTACATTGGGCTGCTCTTGTTGAAAATGGTCCAGAGGTTACAGCTGGTGCAAAATAGAGCAGCTGGGCTGGTCTTTATACATATTCTGGCACTAGACAGATGTTTTTATTTAAGGAGCATTTTAACTGTTGATTTTAATTGGAATTTAGTTTTCATTTTAATATATACTTTAGTTTTCTTAATTGTGACATTTGTGATAGTTCCAATCTGTTCTTAAACTATTTTTTGTGTTCCTGCTATGATGTTATGTTATTTATTAATGCAATTCTGGTTTTAGCTGTCTAAATTGAGTTTGATTGTGTTATTTATGTTTTATGTTGTTGGTTTTTTTCATGTAAACCGTCTAAGCCATGTGGCTATGAGATGATATACAAATGTGTTAAATCGGTAAATAAACATCACTTCCAAATCATGTGATGTACTAGTTCCCTCAGCACTGGGTAGGCATCATCTGGAGTACCGTGTCCATTTCTGGGCACCACAGTTGAAGAAAGATGTAGACAAGCTGAAAAGGGTTCAGAGAAGGGAAACAAGAATGAACTGGAGACTGAATTGAAAGAATATGGCAAGTTTAGCCCTGAGAAGGGAAGACTGAGGGAGATATGATAGCACTCTTCAAGTACTTGAAAGGCTGTCACAGAAAGGAAGGACAGGATCTCTTCTCTATCATCCCAGAGTATAGGACATGGAACAGCAGGCTCAAGTTACAGGAAGCCAGAGTCAATGGAAACAATGACTGAGGGAGGTTGTGAGCTCTCCCCCACTAGAGGCATTCAAGATGCAACTGGACAGCCATCTGAGAGAGATGGTTTCACTGGGAGCCCTGCACTGAGCAGAGGGTTGGACCCAATGGCCTTCTGGCCCCATTCCCACTCTACTATGATTCTATAATTCTACGATAACATGAAGGCATTCCATAAGCCCTAGTTGATGCTGGCTGGATTTAGAAAATTACCCTTGTGGGCACTACTTCTCTCGTCATCTTAAATCTGGTAAGGATGGTTTGTTGGATAACCACCGTGCAACAGGCCCTGTGGTCTGTTGCACAGTGGTTAATAAGCAAGTCACCCTTACTGTGTTTGGGCAGCATGAATGACAACCCACTGGTTGTAGTGATGTGCAAACCAGGTCAATGGGAAAATGAAAACCTCTATACTTAAGCCTTCAAGTAATAGCTGCTGGGATGCAGGGAGAGGATTTGCATTGGGGATTGGCACGGGGAGGGGGGATTTAAACTGCTTTTGCCCACAGTACTCTCCCACAACTCCATGATGGATCTCATTTCTCAGACCCTTCATACTGTGCACAATTCAACACTACAGAATGCTTTGGAAGCACCAAATGCTTGCTATTCCTATTTTGTCTTTGTTATGTTAGTTCCAGGATGTATATGTAAGAAGAGGGTGAGAAAGAAGGCTGCTGTTAGATGGAAGTACAGAGCAACACAAATGGTGAATGCTTGCGCAAGGCGCTGTACGTGAGCAACTGTCTGGTTGTCATCATGTCAACATAAGCTATGCCTCAACAAGTCCAAAGAAGACGTATTTGCCTGTGTGTGTAATCCATCAGGAAGGCGGACGAGAGCGCTGTAACAAAGCGAAAAGGCGCGACGACTTCACCACTAGGCGATAGCGCTGCTGCTCCTCGGAACTTGCGCCGAAACCGTCTCTCGTTCCTTCCCGCTGAAGGGGAACTGGACCTTCTCTTTCCGCCTGATAGGGGGCGAGTTTCAGTCCGCAGCAGCCAGAGTGGCTGGCTCGCTGGCTAGCCTTAACCGAAGCCCTCTCGTCTCCCCGCTACCGCCCTCTCGGCTCCTCCTCTCGGCTCCAACTAGCCGCCGCATGTCTCATTCATCCGCAGTACCAGAGACGACGTTCGCAGCGCAGCCGAGCTGGGCGCTCCGATTCACGCGGAGCGGGGCGGTCTCTGCATCTTCGTGGGAGATGTCGAGCTGAGCTACAGCCAAGAGGAGGAGGAGCAGGGAAGGGGTTCCCGCCAGCCGCGCCATGTCCCTGCCTCCCATCGCGCCGCCACCACCTGCTGCTGCTTCCCGACTACAGCCTCGGAAGCAGCAGCAGCAGCCGTCGCCGCCGGCCGCAGCTCCCCGGAAAGCGGCGGCGGCACCCTTAGCGCCAACCAAGCCGCCTCGGAAAGGTCGCGGGGCGCCCACGGAGCGTGCCGGCGCCTTCTCTAGCTCCTGGCCCAGCGCCTCTCTCCAGAAGCAGCTGCCGCGCAGTAGAGCCGCCCATGGCAGCAGGAACCCAGCGGCGCCCCTGACTGCCACCGCGGCCGCCACGATCGGCTTGGGGTCCCCCCAGTCCTTCGCCCGGGGCCGCTCGGTCTTGGGGCCGCCGGGCTCGGGCACGCGCTCCTGCGAGAGCCTCTGCGCAGCGCAAGGAGGGCGCGGGGAGGCCGCCGCGCTGCGCTTCTCGCTCAGCCTTCCCCCGGAGGCAATCCGGGTGCTGCAGCGCCGGAGCCTGGAGAAGCAGCATCAGCAGCGGCAACGAGGGCGGACGCCCCGCTCGGGCGACCACGACGCCGTGAAGCGCCCCCTGGTGGGAGGCTCGGCGGCCGGGGGGGACTTGCGCACCCTGCTGCAGGTGTCGCTGCTCAACGAGCGCCACCGCTACGACGACGTGGAGTACGAGGAGGACGACGAGGCGGCGGGCGGCCCCTCCACGGCGGATGAAGGGCTGGTGCGCAAGTGCACCGAGTGGCTGCGAGGTGTGGAGAGTGCCGCCGCTCGCGACCGGGCCGACAAGCTGGGCGCCCTGCCTCACCTGAGCACCCTCTGAGCTGCTCAAGGCTGGCCCTTTCCTCCTACCTGCCTGACGCCCGGGGTGCCTTTCCTGCAAGTGGGCTCCCCGCGAAGGGGCCGAGAGCCAGAATCCCCCGCCCTGCATCCCAGCGTCTTCTTCGTGAAAGGCCTTCCCACCTGTTGCCCTTTGTTGTGGATGTCTTCTTCTCTCCGGTTTTGCGCCTCCGTGGCTGTGTTGCTGGTGCTCAGACACGACACAGAAAGCCCCGAGATCCCATTAGAACCAGCGCCAAAGGCAGCCCGGGCAGGCCTCTCATTCGGACCATCGATTGTTTCAGCTCCACGCGCGCTTACTGAGTGACTACAGTCAGCGGAGCTATCCCTTTTCCCGGATAGCATGGCCAAGGAAAGGTGCTTATATTCGCTTCAGAGGCAATAAATGTGAGAGGTGACTGCTTGAAAAGCACTCCTGGGCACCGGAGGAGAATCGGCTTCACATTCTAAGGGGACAATTACTCCGGTGCCGTTGTAGTATTTTTATAACCCCATCTTTGCTCACAACTGTGCAGAAAAGTAACCGCTGATGCTAGATAGGACTAACTTTTCCTGTCATTCTAATAAAAATGACTGAACAGCACAGACAATCACGTTAGGTGAATGGTGGCTGAATTCAAGCCCCTTCATATATAGATTTTTGCTGTGACAGGCCAAATATAAGCATTGAACTCTGTCATTTCATTTTATTTAACTTAATATGGTAACATAGCAACATATGCTTCATTTTTATTTTTAGTATCTGTAAAGAACTGTGTGCTTAACTTGCTATCTGAATGCTAGGGGAAGTGGAGGATTGGAGTGGGGGAATCTCTCAACTTTTCTTCCATGCTCCTGGCCTTGGGACAGCAAAGTTTATGGAATAACTTTTATATTACACAATGAAGTGTGCTGAGGCAAAGAAAGACGCTGTGTGGAGTGCAAAAACTTGACAAAGTGTTCTATATGAAGATTTCAAAAATACATTGTATATCCAGATTAGCACAGTGTTTTTGTAAATTTGTAATATTTCTATTTATTTGAAGAAACAATTAAAATTTGTTTGTGAGGAAACATGTATGATTTGGTGTAATAGTGTCTTCATTTTATAATTGCACAGTTTTAAGGAAGAGGAGGAAATAAAGGGTGCAAATGGGCATGATCCAGCCAAAATGAAGCATTTTAAGCCCTACTGCTTTTTTTAATATGTGAGATTTAAGCATGTCACTTTTTCATTAAAATCAGTAAGTCTCAAAATTGTTAACGTTGGATTGTTTTCACTCAGGGAAACAGGCAAGAAAGTGCTTAGGCATTTTTAGAACATGTTTCAAGTATGATAACCATGCACATGCTAGTTTAAAATAAGTCTTGCAGATTGGAATAAATATTTCAGATTATTGCATATGTAGGAACCCATTTCTAAGGAAGGAGGTTTCCAAAGTACCATTTACTTTAAAGCTGCATGTTTTATATAATACCAGGCAACCATACATTTCTGTTTCTTAAGTTTTGGGGTATCTATCTTTCTAAGAGGACTGAGAACAACAGATTTCTTATGTACATTGCCCATGAAGGACCAGCAAACATTTTTGCTTTACCAATTATCCTGTACAATTTTGTACAGAGTAAGGCAATAGCAGAAGACTGTGAATAAACTGGGTCAGCTAGAGTTGGGGCATCAAGATCATCAGCTTGCAATGTCCCACTGTGCCAAGAGCAGCCCTCCAGAGGATGGATTTTAAAGGCCCATGCAACAACCTCTGTGAAGTCCCACAGGTATTAGGATATAAATATAATAAAGACACCATCTATAGTGGCTGCCAATCAATGCATGTTTAGACAGAAAAACTCCAACAAGTCCCTGCATGCACCAGTCAGCATGAAAGAGCCTCTGAAGGCGGTCTGAAAACCATGGCAGTTTCATATAGCTACAGGCACTTGGTCCAAAACTCTTACCAGCATTTTAAATTGGCCATGGAAACACAGGCAAGCAGAACAATTAGTACCACACTGATCACCCGGCTCCAACTAAAATTTGTATAACTGCATGCTGCACTGAGGTTTGTGAACTGTTTTTCAAATAACCCCACAGAAAACATCGCCGTGGCCAGCTCAAGCAGAGGGAACAGTTCAAATAGCTCTGAAGAAAAGGATAAATGAAGGAAGCACTGCAGCTTGCATAGTTCTCTATGGAGTACATAGCAATTCGAAACACTTGAACTTTTGAATACACCAATACAAACACTGGAGTGCTTTGCTTTTTCTTTGTGGAATTCAGTGGGATTGTGGTCTTAAATAGCAATACGATTGCTGGAAGAAGGTGCTGGTAGCAGCTTGAAGTGGAGCTCTGTAAACTAAGATGGTGTGATTGAGAAAGATAGCAACAAGCACACAGTCAACAAATGAGGTCATTTTCCTTCTGAATGTTAATTGCAGCAACCCACTACAAGCAAAGGATGCTTTTTGCCTATACTTCCATGAGAGGGTGGCTGCTAATAACAGGCAGGCAGAAAGCCCCCACTTTTTAATCCTGATGGGGCATTTCTTGAAAGGCATGCCCACATTTACAAAGGTTTGAGTGTGAGAGGGGGAAGAGTGAAATGCAGGTTAGATGTAAGGATAAAATGGGGAGTCAAAAAAAAAAAAAAAGCCAGACATTGATAGAAAGGTAGGCATATAAATGTAGTTACTAAACACTGCAACAAAGGGAGGAATCTATGCTGTCCAGAATCATCTGGCATACCGTGTCCAGTTCTGGGCACCAAGTTTAAGAAAGATGTAAAAAACTTAGAAAGGGTCCAGAGGAGGGCAACAAAAATGATCCAGGGTTTGGAAACACTGCCCTATGAGGAGAGACAGGGGGAACTGGGCATGTTCAGCCTTGAGAAGAGAAGACTGATGGGGGACATGATATCCCTCTATAAGAACCTCAAAGGCTGTCACAAAGAGGAAGGCCGGGATCACTTCTTAGTCATTCCAGAGTGCAGGACACCAAATAATCAAATCAAGTTGCAACAATCCAGATTCAGGCTGGACATCAGGAAAAGCTTCCTCACTCTCAGAGCAATACGACAGTGGAACCGGCTGCCTAGAGAGGTGATGGGCTCTCCCACACTAAAGACATTCAAGGCAAAACTGGACAGCCATCTGAATGGGATGGTGTAACTTGGTGTTCTGCAACAGCAGCGGGTTGGACCTGGTGGCCTTCTTGGCCCCTTCCAACTCTACTCTTCTATGATCCCTTGCTGGATGCAGTGGACTTACGCCGCAGGTGGCAACAGCGACCTTCCCTGGAGAGCAGTGGAAAGTTCACTGAATCCAAGGCACCCCCATTCCCTGGGCACACTTTCCAAAAGGGTAAAAACAATTCCACCAGTCCGGGAGAGGGCATACTAATTTTGCCCCACTGAAACCTGAGAAAGAAGAAATGACTAGAAGGAAGGCTAAGCATGAAAAGAAATGAAAAAATGGGGCTGGGGGAAAGCAGCCTCAGCCCTTTGATCCTGACTGGTACAACCCTAGCTGGTCTTAGGCAGTTGCATTTCCTCCAGCACAGATGCTCCCTCCATAGGATTGCTCTAGGAATCCAACCATATACAAGTTTACTCTGAAGTAAGTCTCAATGAAGACAGTTATTTCCAAGGAAGTGTATATAGGATTGCAACTGCCATATTCAATAAGTGTGTTTACACATGTCACTGTTTCCACTGATGTGTTGTAGAAAGGTAGAAAGGTTTCCTGAAGCTCTAATATAGAATATGCTGGGGGTTTTAATACAATTTAAATCTGCTAAAAGGATTTATCAAAGAAAACACGATCTGCTTGCTGTGATAATAAATATCTTGAACACTTCTGTTACCATTTTTAGAGTAAATAGACTGAGCTCTGAAGGTAGTGTTTGCTGTCAAAAGTATACGAGGTAGATTCATCAAAGCTGGAAGATTTCACTGTGTTTTCCCAGGGAAACAAATGAGGAACTTTATATTTCAGTCCATGTTTTATTGACCTAACAGTGCTATCTTATGTATCTTTACTCAGAAGTAGCTCTAGCTGAATTAAATGGGTCTTTCTCCCAGGTAATTGTGAAGAGTAGCATTTCCATAATCCCCAGGCAAGCTAGATGGGGATGATAGGAGTTGTAGTCCTGCTCATCTATAGAGTTCCAAGTTGGGGTAGCCTGGCATATAGGATTGCAGCCCAAGGAATGTGGATGAAAAGGTAATCTTTGAAGATTATATCATACTCTAGGGCCTATATTATGGAAAGTTAACTCCTGCCCAGTTACAAAACTTCCTTAGAAATACATATTGCCAATATAGTCTACGTTAGCAGCTTCTGATGTATTCCTAGAAGAGAGGTCTGCTAAAACGAAGCAGAAGCAATAGCATGTACTCTAAGACATGTAAAATTCTAACATTCCCACCTGATGCTTCTAATGTTCATTTTTGCAGTGCTACGTAGGACCCCAGGTTCATCTCTCCAGGGTTCATTTATCCACCAAAGTGTGTAGCAATTTGCAGTGTATGAAATAAAATCAGACCAATGGTATATGCTCGGGTGACTTCATAAAGCATGATACTCTCCTTCTAGAGTATCACACAATTGTGTACTTCAAATCTTCTGTTAGCAGAAGCACACCTTGCTCAATAGCCCTGCTCAAAGTTCTGGACAATGCAAACCAGTGTGGCTGCCCCCAGCCCTTGGACATCCCATGCAGGGCAGCAGGAACTCCGAGATGAAGGTCCCCTCTGTGGTTCTCTCATTCTGCAAAAGCGACAATTGATATCTGCCTTTTGCTCCAGAGAGCAAGGAGAGGAAGCTGAGGCACCACTGGCACCTGTTTACTTGCATCCCAACCTCCTAGACTGTCCACAAGTCAATTTCATGGCCACTTTTGAACACACAGCTGGCTCGATTCTTTCAGGTCCAGCTGCAGGAGAGGAGGGATGGTAGTCCACCTTCAAAGTAAGGTGGCCTCCCCTGTGGCTATCCAGTGTTTACTGG